TCAGTCTAGGAGCGGAGGTCCCTAGGACCATCAAGGGAGAAGAGCAGAGAGCGGGACCCTACCCAGAGAAGCAGTGATGCCTGAAATGGAGGCAGAGATGATGACGTGGAGCGATGGAGCAGCTGGAGACTTTAGATCCAGAGAGGGAGCGCGACCGTGTGCTGAAGACCTGGGAGGGGTACGGGGGAAGGATTGCATGGAAGGGATTGTAACCATGGCAATGAGATGATATACGATAGAATGAATGTAAAACCAATGTTCTCCCATGTAAACTATCACGTAATTCACAATAAAACATTAAAATAAAAAAAGTGATGCCCAGTGAAACTCTCCTTATATTGGATCAGGACTATAAGCTGATAAAGGGTATTGCATCCCACCCTAATCCCCTTACCACTAATTGGCTGATATTACATCATTTCACATCATGTAGGATGATTACATGATTATACTTACTACCAGTGAGATTCGTGGTCCAGTAACACTGATAAATGGTTTGGGGCAGTATAATTCAACCCATGTTGCTGTTGTTAAGTGCCGCTGAGTGGACTCCGACCCATAGCGACCCTGTATAGGGTTTCTGAGAAGCAGCTGGTGAGCTTCAACTTCCAACCTTGCAGTTCAAACGGCTTTGCAGTCTGACGCATTAACCCACAGCGTCACACCAGGACTCATGGCATCCTGTATTATTGTCACTGAGTAGCTGGTCTGTCTCAGTTGAGGGCAGAAACCTTGACTTGTTCAATTTCCCAGCATCTATCTAGCATTTAGTATGTACTTGATGTTTTCTAAATAAACATATAAATAAATGAACAAGCTGGAAGAGTCTATAGTTGTCCAGAAATGTCCTTTTACGAGACAGATAGGTTTAGGAAAGATACTAAAATAGAAAGAGTGCCTATTAAAAATGTGGTAAGAGTTCACTGTCTCAGCACTGCATAAAATTTTAGAGATCACTTTGTATACCATATCATTTAAAACAATGGCCTTCAAATTGCGATACAAGAAAACTAATTCAGAAATGATTTACATTTATCTTATTCCTTTTCACTCCTATTTTAAAAAAATGTGTTATACAAACTTTGTTACATACACACAATGGAATATTATGTTGAAGAATAACAACGAATCTGCAAGGCACCTTACAACTTGAAAGAACCTGGAGGTTCTGAGTGAAATTAGTCTATCACAAAAAGGGTCGCTGTAAGTCAAAACAGACCTGACAGCACTTATTAACATTTCCCTCATACCCATCTTTTCTGCTTTCTTTTGCTCAATGCACTTATCATTTTTCATTATGTTTACTTGGATTTTTTATTGTATATTTCTCCTATTAAAATAAACTCCATGAGATAAGAAAAATATATATTCTATTAAGATCTCTAGGTAGTGCAAACAGTTAAGCACTTGACTACTAATCAAAAGGTCAGCAATTCAAACCCACACAGACATGCTTCAGAAAGCAGTCCTGGGGATCTGATTCCAAAAGATCACACAGTCTTAAAAACCCTAGGGAGCAGTTCTACTCTGCACACATGGGGTGGCAATGAGTCAGAACTAACTAAAAAGCCACCAACAAAAACATGACATATTAGCATGGCATCATATATTCAAGGGGATTTCAAAAGGTTCATGGAAAAATTCCATTATCTTTGAACTCCATGTTTCCATGAACTTTCTCATTCCCCTCATATATATGTGTGTATATAAGGAGCTCTGAGCTCTGGTAGCATAGTAGATATGAATCGGGCTGCTAACCTCAGGGATCAGCAGTTCAAAACTACGAGCTGTTTCGCAGGAGAAAGATGAGGCTTTCTGCTCCCATACAGATTTACAGCCTTGGAAACCCTGTACAGGGTCGCTATATGTCAGAACTGACTCCACGGCACATAACAACAACAACAACAACAAAATATGTATGTGTGTGTGTGTATATATATATATTCGTATATATGTA